AACTTGTCAATAGCTACCAACAAGTGGGTGTAGCCCCCGGGGGCTTTCTACAGAGGCCCAACCATGTCCAGTCCCCACACGGTGAACGACCACGTGATGGGGATGGTTTGGAGGGCTTGAGCCGGGAGGTGTGTCTACCGCGCATAGTACTGACATCCCTCGCAGGAGCGTACCAGCTTAGTGGCGTCGGCAACCGCCGTTGGCCAGTAGAACCATTGGCGGAAGGCGTTTCTGATGAGCGTCCGAGGAGCAGCATGGTGCCCGCAAGCTCCCGCGTGCAAGTCCCAAAGTAGGGCTTGGCCTTCCTCGGTGGTGATGCATTGTTGGAGGACGTTAGATGGGCTTCGTCTGTACAACTCGCCGTTGCTGACGACGTAAGTTTTGGCTCGTCGCGCCAGCAGTTGGGCCTCGGTCCTATCCACAAGAAGCACTCCTCGAGTGAGGCGATCCAGGAGGGGACCCGCCAATCCACCCCTCGGTCGGCCTCGGGAGGCCCTGCATCGATTTCCATGGCCTCGGGCTCGGCCGCCGGGGTCTCGGTAACAGAAGGGGCCTCGGGCCCTATGGTGGGCTCGACCGGTGGGCCATCTTGTGCCGCTGAGGCGTATTCCACCGAGGGCTTGTGCAGGTCTCTAGCGAATATGTTCGGGGGGACCGGGGCCCATGCCGATGCCATCTTTGCCAGTTCGTCCGCGGCCTCGTTGAACTTCTGCGCAATGTAGTTGAGTTCGAGACCGTCGAACTTATCTTCAAGGCGACGTATCAGTTTGCAGTACGCCTCCATTTTGGGGTCGTGACAATTCGAGTCCTTCATGACTTGATCGATGACGAGCTATGAATCGCCCCGTACGTCGAGACGCCGCACTCCAAGCTCGATGGCGATCTACAAGCCATTGACGAGAGCTTCGTACTCGGCTGCGTTGTTGGAGGCGGCGACGTGGAGCCGAATCATGTAACGCACATGCACTCCGAGGGGAGAGATGAAGAGCAGACCCGCGCCTGCCCCGGTCTTCATCAGAGACCCATCAAAGTACATGGTCCAGCATTCTGCTTGGATTTGAGAAGGTGGTAGCTGGGTGTCGGTCCACTCAGCCACAAAATTGACTAAGACCTGGGATTTAATTGCTTTCCGAGGCGCAAAAAAAAGGGCCTCCCCCATGAGTTCAACAGCCCACTTGGCTATTCTACCCGAGGCCTCCCGGTTCTGGATTATCTCCCCCAGAGGGAAAGATGACACCACTGTCACCGGGTGGGATTCGAAGTAGTGACGCAGCTTGCGCCGAGCCAAGACTATGGCGTAGATCAGCTTCTGGATGTGGGGGTAGCGTGTCTTAGTTTCGGAAAGTACCTCGCTGATGAAGTAAACATGTCGTTGGACAGGTAGAGCATGCCCCTCTTCCTGCCTCTCGACTACTACGGCTGCGCTGACCACTTGGGTCATTGCGGCGACGTAGAGTAAGAGGGCCTCACCCTTGGTTGACGGTACCAAGATGGGAGGGTTGGTGAGCAGGGCTTTGAGCTTGGTGAGGGCTTCTTCGGCCTCGGGGGTCCAAGAAAAGCGTTCGGACTTTCTCAAGAGACGGTACAGAGGTAAACCTTTTTTGCCAAGGTGCGAGATGAAGCGACTCAGGGCCGCAAGGCATCCCATAACTCTTTGTACTCCCTTGAGGTCTCGGATTGGCCCCATGCTGGTCACGGCCGAGACTTTCTCCGGGTTGGCCTCGATGCCGCGCTCTGAAACTATGAACCCTAAGAGCATGCCTCGGGGGACCCCGAAGACACACTTCTCAGGATTAAGCTTGATGCCCTTTTCTCTGAGGCATTTGAAAGTGATCTCTAGGTCGCCGATGAGATCACTGGCCTTTCTGGAGTTGACCACGATGTCATCCTTCTTGAGATTAAGCTTGATGCCCTTTTCTCTGAGGCATTTGAAAGCGATCTCCAGGTCACCGATGAGATCACTGGCCTTTTGGAGTTGACCACGATGTCGTCCTTCTCGGGATTAGTATGCCTCGATAGTTTGCCCGATGTGCTCTCCGAAGACCTCGGTCATGCACCGCTGGTATGTGGCCCCTGCGTTTCTAAGACCGAATGGCATGGTCACATAGAAGTACATGCCGAATGGGGTGATGAAAGAAGTCACGAGCTGGTCGGACTCTTTCATCTTGATTTGATGATAACCGGAATACGCATCAAGGAAAGATAGGGTCTCGCATCCTGCAGTGGAGTCAATGATTTGATCGATTTGAGGTAATGGAAACGGAACCTTTGGACATGCTTTATTTCAACCAGTGTAGTCTACACACATCCTCTATTTTCCATTCTTCTTTTTAACTAATGCAGGATTAGCTAACCACTCTGGATGGGACACTTCCTTGATGAATCCGGCCGCCAATAGCTTCTGCACCTCCTCGCCGATGGCCCTGCGCTTCTCCTCGTCGAATCAGCGTAGGCGCTGCTTCACCGGTCTGGAGCCGGCCTGGACGTCCAAGGCGTGCTCGATGACCTCCCTCGGTATGTCCGGCATGTCCAAGGGACTCCATGCGAACATATCGGCATTCGTGCGGAGAAAGTGGACGAGCACGGCTTCCTATTTGCTGTCGAGGGTGGCGCTGACCCTCAACGCTCGGCCGTTGGAGCAGTTGGGGTCGACCGAGACGAGCTTGACGGTCTCTACGGGCTCGAAAGTCCCGGCGCGGCGCTAGGAGTCGGGTACTTCGCTACCGAGTTGGTCGAGGTTGACGATGAGTGCCTCGGCCTCCACGATAGCCTCGGCGTACTTGATGCATTCGATGTCGCAGTCGTATGCATGCTCGTACGTGGACTCAACGGTGATGACACCGTTGGGGCCCAGCATTTTGAGCTTGAGGTAGGTGTAGTTCGGGACCGCCATGAACTTGGCGTAGCACGGGCGCCCCAGGATGGCATGGTAGGTCCCCTTGAACCCAACCACTTCGAAGGTGAGGATCTCCTTACGGTAGTTGGAGGGAGTGCCGAAGCAGACCGGCAAGTCAATGCGTCCGAGGGGTTGCGTGCGCTTCCCTGGCATAACGCCATGGAAGGGCGCGGCACCACCTCAGAGCTGTGATTGGTCGAGCTCTAGGAGCTCCATGGTGTTGGCGTAGAGGATGTTGAGGCCGCTGCCTCCGTCCATCAGCACTTTGGTGAGCCGGTTGTTGCCGATGATCGGGTCGACGACGAGCGGGTATTGCCCGGGGTTTGGGACATAGTTGGGGTGGTCTTCTCGATCGAAGGTGATCACCTCCCGAGACTAGTTTAGGTACTGGGGAGTGGCTACCTCGACCGAGAAGACCTCCCGGTGTTCTCTCTTTCACTGACGCACCGTGAGGCACTTTAAAGGCCCGCCGAAGATCATGAAGGCATTGTGCACTTTGGGAAACCCGTCGTCCTTGTCGTTATCTCCGTCGCCGGCACCCTTCTTCCTGGCATCGTCGTTGGAGAGCCCGAGCTTAGCGTAGTAACATCGGAGCATGGTGCATTCTTCGAGGGTATGCTTCACCGGGCCCTGGTGGTAAGGATAGGGCTTCTTAAGCATATCGTCGAATACTCCGGGGCCCCTGCTGGGGCCTCGGAGATTCTTGCGATCCGCGGCTACGATGAAATCGGCCTCGAGGGCCTCTTGCTTCCCTGGGCGTCCCTTTTTCTTTTTCTTGGGGAAACGGGAGGCTGAGGCCCCGGGGGCCTCGTCCCTCCGCTTCCCCTTTGTGTCGCCTTCGGGGAAGATGGCCCCGACGGCCTCTTCACCCGAGGCAAAGTTGGCGGCGATGTCGAGGGCGCGGCCGACTGAGGTTGGTACGTTCCGGCCTAACTCTCGGACCAGGTCTCGGCAGGAGGTGCCGAGAGAGGAAAGCTTGGACCACTTCTGAGTTGCCGATGCTGGGCAACTCAATACACTGCTTGGAGAATCGCCGGATGAAGTCTTAGAGGTACGGGTGTCAGCAGGGGGCACAGTGATGAGCATAGTGGCAGGTAACCCCTGCTGCGCCCGGTCCCCTATCCCATCGGTCATTCTGCCTGTACTGCGCCAACGTGCGGCTGACGTTGCGGGAGTAGTTGGGCGCATTAACTGGGCGTGACATTTTGTCAGAGGAGTCGGATAGGATGGAGGTGACGAGGTTGTTGCCGAGCCCAGCATCGGGCGAATCGGAGAATTAGTATCCCGTCCGAGGCCTTGCGGGGCGGGGCCTCGGCGAGAGGGCTCGGTGGGGCGGAGGGCTTTGGCCTTTCATCTGAGGCCTCGACGCAAGCCTTGGGCGAATCGGAGAATTTGCCGAGACCTCGTGGTTGTCCTTTGGCTTTGATTTTTGCAAGGCTTAAGCAATATTTTTAGTTCTTGCTTAGGGTACCCCTTCTTGTGGTATCCGACACATAGGTATGCACTACATTAGATGACATAGCTAGTTTGGTTACATATACATTAGATGACATAGCTAGCTTGGTTACTTCACTCATAACACTTGCATACAAGCTTGCTATACACTTATACACTTGAAATGCATGGTACGATGAAGATTATTGTAAGAGGTCTACAAAAGTTGTTCATTAATGTACCACATAACATTTCATTCAAAATTCGTTTGAAATTTGCTTAAAAATCAACTGAAATCATGGGTTTGACCACCATTTGACCATCATGGACCCACCCATCAGCCTGACTCCCAAGCTAAACCGAGTCCAAATGACTTGAGCTAACTCAGGTGGGCCTATCTGTCTGGGATCTCGAAGGCAACGGTCTAAAATTTCCCCCTTCCCCCAAATCCTCGCCCACCCGCACCCCAAACCCCCCCACCATCGGCCGTCGGCCACCACCCACCGCCGCGCACCCACTCCACCGGTGAGCCCCCACCCCCACGCTTGCAATACAGTAGGTATCCTCCGCCGCCGCACCCGCTCCACCGACCAAGGCCCACCACAACGCAGCCGCTCGACAGGCCACCGAGCGCCGCCGCCCTAGCATTTCTGGTTAGGGTTAGAGCTCCATGGCAGCCGAATCAAGCTCGTCGAGGAGCTCCATGGAGCGCTACGGGGTCCAGTCCCCCAACTCCTCCCCAATTCCCTATCGCCACCCGCCATACTCATACAATCCGGATATCAACTGCGAGTGCGGTCGCAAGAGTCCCCGGTGGATCTCATGGAGTGATGGGAATCCAGGAAGGAAGTACCATTGCTGCTACAAATATCAGGTGAGTTCAATTTACATCCTCCCCAATTGTTAAGATGGGTTGATTTGAATTGTAGAAACTGTCTACCTGACAAACTGCAAATTGGTTGTGGATGCAAGGATGGTGGATGCACTTTTTGGGAGTGGTTGGATCCAAAGCCAACAGATCATCAGATTGAAATCCTTATTGATTTGCGAGATGCAGTTAAGGCCCTACGTACCAAGAACCAGACTCTGGAGGTGGAGAATAGTGAACTGAGTTATTTGCTTGATGAAGCACAGGCCAAGATTGCCCAACTGGTGACAGAGAATGAGAAGGCTACTGTACTTGCTAGGGATCAAGAAGCCAAGATTGCTGAACTGGTGAAGGAAAAGGAGAAGGCTAGTGTTCGTGCTAAGTATCAGGAGGCCAAGGAGGTGCAGGGCAAGCTAGTGTTCAGTAAAGTTGGCAAGGCCTGTTGTCGTGCAGTGATTTTTCTTGTCGTGTGTTTGGCACTTCTGGTGGCCATGTTTAGTAAAGGTCCTGAGACCATGAAACCACAGCTGCTGTGAAATAGCCGTGTCAATGTATGAACTAGTTTAGTCAATGTATGAGTTGTTCAATGTATGAATTGTTGTTCTAAATGTATGAGTTTTTCAATGCATGAATTTATAGCATGCTGTTGCATGACTGCTGAAAATGGACAGAAATTAAGATGTGCTTGATAGCATGCTGTTACAAATGTGTTATACATGACTGTTACAATTCCAGAACATCAATATCCAAAAAAAGGCAGTGTCAAGCCAACAAAAGAGTCACTGTTATAAATGTTCACTAAAATGAAGCTATAAATACAAGAAAATGAAGTTAATCATCATCATTACATTCCATGGGATCCCTGTCATTTTCACTAAAATACTCCAATATAGTGTCATCTTCACAATCTTCAGAGTCATTATCTGCATCCAGGTCTTCTTCCCTTCTACTGATAAGATCTTGTAAGTTACCAGCAATAGAAGATTTCTCTCCATGTACACGTCGGTACACTGGTGCAGGCTCATCTAATCCATCATCATCATCATCAGCTTGCACCAAAAGCTCATTATCAGAACCAGCTTCATCTTGGTGAACAATGCTCAATTCTGCTTCAGTGACATCATACATACTCCGATGCTCAAATTTCTGGACAACACGCCAATTTTCACCAAACGTGTGTTATACGGCACATAGAAGACCTTTTTGATTGAGTTGCTAATATAAATGGGTCTGACTTGTACCAAAACCTCTCCACATTGATGGATCTAAAAAGGCCATCATCTCTAATAGCTTTTCCTTTGCCATCTTGACTGAACCACTCACACCGAAAAAGTACCACAGCTCGAATGGATTCCAAATTGGAGTTGTAGCTCAACTCAACAATCTCTTTGAGCTGACCATAAAATTCAGTCGGCACACTGTTATGTGTTCCATCTGCCAGCACACCACTATTTTGTGCCTGCCTTTGTCTTTCACGGCCGACAGTGTTGTATCGAACACCATTGACACTGCATGATGCCCATAACTTCACTCTAAGGCAAGGAGGACATGATATTGCATATAGGCCTTCACTAACATCTTCATGATTATCCATCCATAGCATCTTGATCTAATAAGACCACCAAACAAGTTAAAATTTGAAAAATATGAAAAAAACTTGATGCACACAAAATAAATATGAAACCACTTATATGATTCCTAAACCAAGCAGGAAATTCCTTTTCCAACCTATTCTCAACATCATGGCCACCTTCTTCCTCTAACTGTTGTCTAAACTTGCTGCACACACAATTTGCAATATGTATTGGTCACCCATGTTTAGCATTGTTGTTTACTAGCACACACAATTTAGGAAAGAAGCACTCACCTTAAATATGGCTCTACCTCATCACAGTTGTTTAGCACATACCAACAAATCTTGTCAAATTCTTTGTCATCAAGATATGTCTGCCTGTGTGCTCCCAAGAGTTTAACACCATGCTGGAAGATAGAGAGGTCACTATCTGAAACTCCCTGATCCCATTTGTCATCATCCCTGTTTAATGTAGTGACAACATCATCCATGTACCTTGAGCAAAAGGTCAAGGCCTCATTAGCTATGTATGCCTCAATGATGGATCCTTCAGGTCTAGCCCTATTCCTCGCATACCCCTTCAAAGTGCCCATTTGGCGTTCTATCGGTACATCCATCCATATTGAACAGGACCTCTTAGGAGTGCTTCATCAGGAAGGTGGACAGCCAAGTGGACCATCACATCAAAAAAGGCAGGAGGAAAAATTTTCTCTAGCTTGCATAGTATCACAGGGATTTCTGCCTTTAGACATTTGATCACATCAACCTTTAGTTTCCTACTACAAAGCTCTCGGAAAAATTTACCCAACTCTCCAACTGCTTCATATATGTCCTTATGCACTAGTCCTCGGAGACCAACAGGTAAAATTCTTTGGAGCAGTATGTGGCAATCATGGGTTTTGAGGCCCTGCACCTTGGAACCATCTGCACTAATGCATCTTGTCAGGTTGGAAGCGTATCCATATGGAAACCGAATATATTTTAGAAATCCACAAAATGCAGCCCTTTCTTCTTTTTCCATGGCATACCATGCTGCTGGCATGGAAACTGAATTCCCACCATCTTCTTCTAAATGCAGTTCAGGTTGTATGCCCATATCCTACAAATCAAGCATTGCATTAACTGTATCCTTATTCTTGCCCTCAAGACGGAGTATTATGCCTAGAAGGGCATCACATATATTCTTCTCTATATGCATCACATCAAGATTGTGTGGCAGCTTCAAGTGTTTCTAATAAGGTAGTTCCCATAGAGCTGACTTTCGGCTAAACAATTTTGGCTCCTTGTCCTTCTGTCCACGCTTTCTTTTCTTGCTACCATCATGCTTACCATAACACACATCTTTTACCTTCTCTAGACACTCCAATGTCTCATCCATACTCAGCATTTGTGGCTCAACCCAGTTTTCTTGGTGTCCATCAAAGGCCAAGCTTCTTCGCCACTTGTGATTTTTTGGAAGGTAGCGACGGTGTCCAATGTAACAAATCTTTTTCCTAAGACTCCTTGACAATGGATCTCTGTTGCAATAAATGCATGCATAGTAGCCTTTGGTAATTCACCCTGACAATACACCCAAAGCTGGATAGTCATGGATGCACCATAGTACTACAGCACGAAGGTCAAACTTTTCGCCAGTGAATGCATCATAAGTGCTGACACCCTCCTAGAGTTTTAACAAATCCTCAATGAGTGGTTGTAAGAATATGTCAAAGTCCTTGCCTGGAGACTTTGGTCCTGGGATGAGCAATGACATGTAGCAGTTGGATGCATCGGTGCATGACCATGGAGGAAGATTGTATACCCTTACAAGTACAGGCCACATGCTATAAGTGTGTTCATGTTCCCAAAAGGATTGAAGCCATCTGTAGCTAAACCAAGCCTTAGGTTTCTTGCATCTTTAGCAAAGCTTGGATACACCTCATGAAAGTCTTTCCAGGCTTCGCCATCAGCTGGATGGCTCATTTCATTGTACACAGGAACCCGCTTATCCTTGTGCCACCGGGTCTCCTCAGATGTTGATTTCTTTGCAAACATCCTCTTCAGCCTAGGTATAAGAGGAAAATATCTCAAAATCTTCTTAGGAATCCTTTTTGCACCATCTGCATCTACCCACCTAGATTTCTTGCATTTTGGACAGTTGTCCGCTTTGGCAAGATCCTTCCGAAACAACACACAATTATTGTCACATACATGGATTAACTCATAACCAAGACCTAATTCTTTGAGATACCTCTTTGCTTTATCATATGAATCTGGAAGACCACAGTTAGGGAATGACCCTGACAATAACTTCAATATCACACTTAATGATGTGTTGCCGATCCTATAGAAGGACTTGATATGTAGCAGTCTCACTAGAAAAGAGAACCTAGACTGAACAGAACCTGGGCAAAGAGCACGTTTTGCATCTTCAAGTACTTTCGCAAACATAGGCTGTTCTCCATCTTCTTGTACAGCTACGTACAAGTCAGCTAGCATCTCTGACGTACCATGATCATCCTCATTGTCAGGCTCATCCACATGCAGCACATCAACAAGATCATCAGGTTCATTTGCATCCTCTGCATGTTCCACAATCTCAGCATCAAAAGCTTCTCCATGGTGTACCCACCTAGTGTATGTAGCTGACCATCCATAGAGATACACATGGTCATACACTTCCTTCTGACTCCATGAAGACTGATTCAGACAATTGCGACATGGGCAAGGTATAGCATCATCCACATTGTATCTACCTCGAACATAAGCCATAAACTGATCAATGCCATCATTGAATTGATCACTGAATCGAGCAGCACGAATCCATGTTCTGTCCATCTAATAAAATGTAACAATTACCTCTAATTAGCCATGTCTAAACAGCTACCGAATCCAATTGAATTGCAAGCTTTGGGAGAGGACAATACCTCGTGCACGCCAGAGCAGAGAAGCCACAAGAGCAGTAGTGCGCCAAGAAGCGCAACAAAGCAGCAGAGAAGCAGTGCACGCCAGAGCCGAGAAGCCACAAGTGGTCGCCGCCAAAGGAGTCTGTCACAAACCGGCTCTGCGCCAAGAAGAATGCCACCCCACATCCCATAGCAGATGACCACCGAGCAAAAGAAGGCGGTAGAGTAGTCCGCCAGAGCTGCCCACCGGAGTGGCTTCGCCGTAGATGGCCGGCGCAGAGGGGCACGCCGCGGAGCACCTCCTCCCGCCCGCTCCAGATGACCGCCGAGTCTGCTAGGCTGTAGATCTCGCTCACGGAGCTACCCACCGGAGAGGCTTTCGCCGTAGATGGTCGGCGCAGAGGTCCGCCGCCGGAGCACCTCCTCCCACCCCGCTGATTCGATTTGTATCCACCACCGCAACACGATTGGATTGGGTTTGGGTCATATAAAAGATCTGATAGTCAATAATAAAATAAGTTCCCACACTTTACCATGAACGAAATTGTGCTCTAATGGTAAGGTAACTAGAATCTGAGTCGGCAGGTGCTGGGTTCGATCCCCATGCGCCGCACATTTTTTTTTCAAATTTGTCTTTTATGACGAAAATAAACACCTGACAGGTGGGACCACAACTGCCAAAATATCAGGTTTTTTAAAACTCCACATTTATGATGAAAATGTATATATGACATGTGGGACCACAACGGTGAAACTATTGACTATCACTTCTATGACGAAGCTCAGAACCCTTCTATGACGGTAATTCCAAATTTGTCACAGAGGAACAAATGGGCTGACGGCAAACCAAGCATCCATGACGTTCTACATAATTTCGTCATTAATGAACCATATTCAGTGACTGAAATTGAATTCGTCATTCCCAAAACATCACAGATGAAAGGATTTCTAGCATGCCTTTTTGACCGTAGATAGATGAACAAATACAACTTCACATTTATGGAGTAAATTAGGGGAGGCCGGACCGAAAAATGGGTGGAGAGAAATTTTGCCTTTTTATAATATTATTAGGCTAGCA